AAGTCCCACCCATAAATATGCTCTCATGTTTTTTTCCCCTTTAGTCTCTGCTATTAACATTATCAACCACAAAATTTTAAAACCAACCACAAAATGCTTTTTTAAATAACTATGCATGGAAATAAAAATAAAAATGCTCTCTTTTTATAGTTTTATTTTTTTGTTTTTCACAATAGTACAACAAATCCAAATTAATCAAACAAGCCATTAGGCTGTATTTTTAAACACTCAACTGTAGTTTTTTTTATATAGTATATAAGGCAAATCAAGTGCTTAGGTCAGGAAATGTAGTTATTAAAGCAAGTCTTGAAGTAATTCAACGACACTTCCAATTAAACATCCAAATTCAGAAAAATTGGTTTGTGTGTGTATATAATAACCACTATAGTGTCTATAATTAAGTCACATTTTCAAGTTTTGGGCCAGTTTTTTGCATTTGTTGAAGCTCTATGTACCTTCACTGCACATGTGAAGCAGCTGAAGACCTGTCAAGGATGCTTTCAGAGACCATCTGTAGCAGGTGAGTTGATGCAAGAGTCCAAATTCAGAAAAAAATGGGGTTGTGTGTCCATGTAAAACTGTCAGAAAACTCAGATTTGCTACAGCAGATGACATCAGTGGAATTATGTTTATTTATTAGTAAAATACACATATTTACACCTTCCTGTAACTTTTCTGCATAGTTTTGTTCTACCATAAACAAGGACGACTATTCGAAAACAGTTTCTTAAATTAATTTCAGTTTGTATAACTACATTCATTATTATTGTTGTAATGTAACATGTAGATATGATAATTACTATTATTCAAGCATATCTGACTTACAAACAGTGTTTCCTCTTTGTTGATTGACCGTGGTGGCCCCCCACACCAACATTTCGAGATGGTTCTCACTGCGGAACATGAAATCCATGGGGAGGAGTCGGATCCAGATCCAACTCCTCCCACCTTACATACACCTAAACCTACCCAACTCCGAAAACCCCAACCCTAATCCCTAAACCCATTTCCACCCCTTGGATCTTGATCCGACTCCTCCCCGTGGATCTCATGTACTGCATTGAGGTGTTACTGAACATTTCTGCCCCCCCACGGTATCAGAAATAGGGCGATTATAGTGTCGATTTCACTGAATATGATCAAAAAAATTTTGCCGAAGGCAGCTTTAACTGGTGATTTTTTTGGACCTGCCCCCACTACTAAAAACAAACAAACAAAGGAAACACTGACAAATATAAGAAATCGAACCAAAAGTGAATACTGGTCATTTATCACTTCGAGAGCTCCTCAAACTGACAGTTCAGAATCACTGTCGTATCCATCCCAATCATTCTGGAAGTCCATACTTGTTCCAGTCAAAACTTGAGCATAGCAGTCTCTTGCATGCTTCATCATTCTGGTGACTTCTTGCTTCTTTCTCAAAGTTAAACTGAGGAAACCCTTGATCCCTTCTTCATTTAGAGCCCACAGCTCACCTTATGGGAGTAAAACAAAAAATTATCAGAAAAAAATTACAATGTAGAGTATAGTATTACAACACATTACTTAAATACGTACTTTGCAATGCCTCACTGGAAAGCTGGGATGACATCTCCTTGAGTGTGTCTGCACGAGTGGAGAGAGATTTCCAATGCTTTGCCATCTCAGAAAGAACAATCTTCTTCTCCTTAAGTCTCCTTATTGCCATCACAACATCAAACGCCTTCCTCTTGATTTTCAAATCTACAGCGTCTGGGATACAGTTGTGGAAAATAAGTAAATTGTAAGTATGATTATTTTTCAAATAATATTTGAGATAATCTGGGATACGGCATAATTGGTTTTGTGCTACTATGTGAATCAAACAAATTGTCAACAGATTTGTGTACATACCACCATGTGAAAGTTGCCATGGCCAAACTGTCTCGTCAGAGAGAATGATGTCAAAGACGATTCTTTCTGTATCTGGAACCATACTGTTGTATTTTTCAACGACAGAGCTAAGAATGGCCTTCTCCTCCCTGATTTTGCGCCGAATCCGGGCCCGACCTTTGCTGCCATCGGTGTCTTTGTAAAGGCGCTGGGACCTTCTTTTAATGCTGGCCACCAGCACCTCCATTCTACTGGTCACCGCGTCAAGATGGCATTCTTTTGGGATGTTGTTGCTGAGAAGAAAAGAAGTGTAAACATTTCACTTACATTTTCATGGCAGTAACTGAAACGAGCTAAGTCTCAGTGTAACACAGAACGCCACAGGGAAGTCATAAAGATTACCTTAACCTCTTTGCTGCTTTTTTTTTTCTTTATAAAAAAAAGCTCCTGGAGGAAGGACAGGTGAGTCTCAATATTCATTTCATATTTATTAGCGTGTATAGGAAGTATGTAACAGGGTACCAAAGAAAATGACAACGTAGCCAAGATGGGATCCGCTAAGTGCAAGAAATTTTGGAAACACTTTATTTTACGGTGTCCTTGTTACATATGTTACATGAACTTAAAATAGTAATAACAATAAATTATGCATAATTACATGTAACTAACCCTCAACCAAATCCTAATCCTACCCTAATCCTATAGTAAGTACATGTAGTTAATTAATATTACTCCGTATTTAAATGTATAATTACACTCTAAGAAGGACACCTTAAAATAAAGTGTTGAATGTCACCGAAATGTCAAATGTTCCAACTTTTGGACTGTGCACCATTCAGGTACTTTCAGGGCACTTTGTTTTGACATGATTTCCAGTGTGCATGCACTACATACTAAAATTTGGCATTTTAACTGCACAAGTAAATGACCAAGAAAACAGTGTATGTATGATTTCATTTTAAAACAGTAATTACTTGCAGAAGCATGTCTCCCATTATTCTGCAAACTGAGACATTGAAATAATAGTATAACTATCACCTTCTGCCCACTCCTTAATCAGTGACCCAGCCCTCAACTTAACCTGTGTCACTGCCAGCTGGATTTTCATGCTTTCCAGATCCTGAAGTTGGATTTCCAGGTAACAAAAAAAGGAAATTAAATAAAAATGTTATACCTACAAAAATATACAATAGAAGGTATTTACAATATAAGAAAATAACAATACTCATCTCTACCTTCTGATATCGGCAGCAAGTGAAGCAGCCAAGTTATTAAACTTTTGCTGATTCCAGCGCATGGCCATCAGTGTAAGCATGTCTGTACATCCTGTAAAAAAGAAAAAAAATACACTAATCTGTGTTGTACCACATGTCTGGCTACAATTTTCTTGTAACACTTTCAATCTAAGTAGTGCAGTGTGTGGTTACCTTACCTGCTTTGGACATGTGCTTTGTGGTCACAGCAATCCTAGAGAGGAAGGCGTTACACTGCTCAACCTCCTCCCCAAGTGTCAATCCGGCCCCTTGCTGGTAAGCTCCACTCCATTTAACCTATTGAAGAAAAGCTGCCAACATACCTTTGCAGGTGTTTAGGGACGGTTAATGACATGGTAATGTTTTCTTACCTCGCATTTAAAATCATGGGCTTTGGCATGAAACACTGAGAGGAATGGTTTCATGCTCAGAAGGTGCTGGAGCTCCTGGCAGCTTTTTATCACTTTGTGGAGGTAGGGCCAGTACTTGCAGGTTACATCCATGGCAAAAAAGCTTATTGACTTATTTGCCAGCTTGTTCTGCAGGTAGAGGGGATAAGCATATATTTCTCCCCTGAACATGTTGAGAGCGCCAGAAAAACTCCATGTCGACAGACCGCAAGCTCAAGTCCCTCCTCATCAATTTTACTAGAGGATCTCTGAGAAGTTTCCCTGGCAGCTGACCACTCCCCTCCACAGACACCTCTTCCAGAGACCTACAACATGGAAAAAGGTTGATATAAATAGTCAGGACTCACCCAAACAATGTCAACTGTAAAATGTTATTGGTCGTGTTTTTTGAAATATTATACAACAAGTTTACATGGTTGGTGTTGGAATGAATGTCATCCACAAATCTTTCTACTTCATCATCTTTTGCAATGAAGATGCCATCAAATAAGGCTTGTTCTTCAGATCTAATTGAAAGAAAGGTACACACTGACCTTCAATATGACACAGCAAAGGTTACTTTAACAACACTGCAAATTACACACATTTTGTAAGTACCTTGCGGCGTTCTTAAAGCGGTAGTGCTTGCGATTTCCATCCACAGAAACAGCAAGCATGTCTGGGGTGCATGCAGGACAGATAAAATGCTCCTCCCTGCAGATCTTATCCACTTCAAATTAACAGCCTCCCACTCCAAAAAGCTTTTTCTGAAGCTGTCTGCTGTGATCTTCCCAGTCTGTTTCAGAACAGTAAAACATGTCAACATAATTCACAGTTAAGTTAACTAAAGTTAATAAGGTCAAAGGTGACACCAAATCCTCCTGCATCGAGCCTCCACAGGCAGTCGCTCAGCCCAGTGGATCTTTGGAAATCTTTTGGCTCTTTGTATGTCACGGACAAAAAACATCACGACCAAAGTCCCCCCCAAAAAAGACCACAGCAAACTCGACTCCCACAGCAAACTTAACCAATGTCTTTATGGACCTATTTGTTTTTTTTCTGAATGCAAACTGCATGACTAGGATGTGACATCACTACTTGATCTTATACACAGGTCTAATGTTTTGAGTGATTGAGTTGATAAATTGCTCCAATATTTTTGTACATTTAGTGTATGAATTTAGATTCTTTACTGAGTTTTTACACAAAGACTTTGAATCTTAGATGATGTTCTATTAATGTATCGAGTCCAGCTGAATCACTGTTTTGATTTCATCAACATGCTCCAATTATAATAATCAATGTGTTGATAATGTCACCATAGTCATTCTGCGAGACACATCAATACTAGTACTAGTTGTTAGTGATTCCCACCACTCATACTCACACGGCCAAAGCGGACAGTTCGTTGATCAAGCATTCTTAAGAATGCTTGGCAGGACAGTCCTGGTGCTGCCATCTTCAATTCTTCATAAGAACAAAAAACATCTGTAGCGTACACCGTGAAAAAGTGAAGGGCAGCAGGCCAGTAGTCATTACGGACTAAGTCATCCACTCCAGCGCTCCATGTGGCTTTGCATGCCTCACATTTCATCTCAGGCATACTGAGATCATATCGTCCTGGAAAAATCAGGAAAAGTAGCTTACATTACTATCACCTATGTAGTACATTCAGAACTAATAAAACTTAAAATCAGACATCTGGCAGTCTCTCATTTGTCAAGTGCCTCTTTTGTGAGACAGAACGCAAAACTGAACATCCCTCCTGCCTATCCTGGGTCTTTCACAGGCGGGAGATGCACATAAGGGTATAGATGCGGGCGGGAGCGGGACTAAAACACATTATTGCGGAACGGGATAGAATATTGTGGGAACAGGGGGGTGCAGGACTGAAAATCCTGCCCAGCGCAATCCACTATAGGGAACGTTTGAATAGAAATAGGACACATTTACAAAGCCAATAGCACTGCCTTGTTTTTTTTTCTATTCAAATAGGACAATGAAAAGTGGCAGGAAGCGAGTAGGAGAGCCCTATGGGGTGGAATCAGGTTAAAGTCCAACCCAGGTCCCTATGGGCACTTTGCCCAGAATGTGATATGGACGCTAAAGCCACTTGATCTGGAATGTTCCCTTAAGTTCATTTTATTCTTATCATTCATTGTAACCACAGCAACAACTTTTCCTGTGTTGACACTCAACGATCTCCTCATCCTCTCCCTCCTGCCACCATCCCTATCCGGAGCCAGATGAAGCCATCTTTTGATCTATTTCTTGGTCCGTGGCCCCAGATGTCAGACGGTTACGCCTCACAGCAGCTAAAAAAAACCCCACACACAATTAACTTGTGACTACAGGATTTTAAAGGACATAGAGTACAATATGAACCAGTAATGGCTGCCTATGGCTTTCTACTTAAACTGATCTGCAAAATTATGGTCTCTGCATGTAGATATCACACCAGAATGTCTGTCAAAAGGGCGTTGGTTCAGTTTAAGGGAATTTTTCTTTTAAAGCAACCAGCCATTCTCAATTTCCCCTGCCCGAATCAATTATCTCTAAATAAGTCCTATTGTATCTATTCCAATAAAAGATAAATCACGGTATTTCCTCTCCTCTCCCCTGCTCATCACCTCACCCGTCTTCTCTTCCTCTACTGTCCTCTAATGACCCTTCTCCTGTCCACCCCTACCCTCATCTCTCTTCCTGTCTTCTCCTTTCAGCTCCTTCACTTTTCTCACCTGCTTCCTTTCCTCTACTTTCCTTCACATTTCCTCATCTTGTCCATCCCTGCTTTCCTTCCTTCCTTCTTAAGACCCTGAACTATCAAGTTATATAACTGTTAATGGTTCTTAAACATATACATGGCAATGTTGGTATGAAGGCCAACTTACCAATCACAACATCTCTTATCTGTAGGCGCTGAAAGCCAATCTTTCCATTTATTCCTCTCATTCCACTCACGAATGTCAGTCCCCCCTTTGAGAGCCAGCGTGTTCACCTGAAATCATATTTCTTAATTAGTTTTTTCCCCCCAGCAATGGTTTCATATTTACGTATTTTAAGGAATGGATAGAATGTATAGCATAAGTAAGTGGTGTTCCTGTAGCTAGCTGCTTAGTTTTGATGGATTTACTTATCATGGCAACCTTTAAGTTTCAGGCAACAAGGAAGAATGTTGTTTCAACATAAAAAAAGTACAGTTTTGCAACAAACACTTGTAGCATACATTTATGATTATGGCAGTTGACGGAAAATAAATTTAAGGCTGGTTTTGTCCTTTAAAGTTAGTTTTAAAATATATAAACCCACATGAAAAACATGTTACACTGTGCTTAAGCAGGGTACCCCCAAGATTGTCCGAATTAAATTTAAGACTTTTAAAGACCTTTGTAATACCACTTAGAATGAAATTTAATGCCAATTTAACAGCCATACTGGCAAAAGTATGAAGGATATAATGGAAAATCAGTATGGATTTTACCAGGTACTTAAATTTTAATATACATCTGTGCACACTCCACGATCACACTAAACTTTAAGATTAGTTCAGTAGTTGATAGATTATTTTTAATGAATAGGAGACAGCAGCAAAGGTTGTTGCCTGTTTAAGACCTGGTGGCCTAATTGTTAAAGAAACAGTAATATTATTCAGGAAACTCAGATCAAACAGCTGATCAGTCTCTGTTGATAAACTTTAGGGAAAAGTTTGACATTTCAACTCTGGCGGGCGCGTGAGACGAGCCGCGACAGTTTCACGGGATTCGTGCCAGCTACACAGAAGCCGTTGCCATGGTTACCTCGTGGAGTGCTTGTTTGCAGAGCGACCACGCGGATCAAAGCCGTCTGAAAAGGCCTTACAAACCTTGTTGCAACCATTCACAAGAAATTAATTTAAAACTTGCCAAAACATAAGGACTTAAAAAGCTACCATTCATACAGCAAAGTGTAGGCTATATAGTCTAGGTGATTGATCAATCGACAACAAAGTCAAAGTAAACATTAGATAGCCTATAACAAGCAATAATCAAAACATACCCAATTTATCCGATCTTACTGTCAACTTAGTGTTGTTCAGAAATAATACAGCTACTTACTAGTTACTTAGCATATACTCCTTAAAAAAGTAATATTAGCTACTCTCTTTTACTGGGTGATTAACGCCACTCTCACCCCATGAGTCCAAGCATCACTGGCAGCGGCCGGAGTTTCTTTCTGAGTTTCACGTTGCTGTGTTGCTTTAGCTGATGCTTCAATTAGCTTAAGTATAAATGCAGAATTGTTCGCAGTCAAAAACTTTTTGCTGGTCGCACAAGGTTTACAACGGACGGCAATGTTCTTTGCATCTTAGACTGTGACACAATAATGGCAATAAAGTTATTTACAGCTGTCGAAAATACCTCTCTCTGCCTGTTCTCCACTTTTCCTTTAGCTTCTTGGCTAACAGCTGACTTGAACTGCAGAAGGGCCGGTGCCACTGAGCTGCAGCGCGGTCGCACATTCACGACAGGGATGGTGCGTTCAGTAGCGCAGTGTTATTTGGATTAGTAACTGTAATAATATAACTGTTTTGGAAGTAGTAATCCCTTACATTACTCTTTACCCGGAAAAGTAATATTGCAGTATTACTGCCCAACACGTTACGTACTACTGATGCGCGAGAGCGACTGTGGTACACACTGTACAGGAAGAAAACTTTACACATGTCAGCCTGTAGATGTCCTCAAATCCTTTCCATTTCACTCAGTGAGCTCCTGTTTAAATTGTTTTTATTACAGATCTGCATGATGCATGCGGGTCATATTTTCAGGTCGGAAAATCAGGAATTCCGGATTAATCCAGAAAAATCACATCCCTGATATTTAAATAGTATTTCCTTTTTGTTTTTGTATATAGTGTTTTGATCATAAAAAATTAAATGCTTTTTTATTACTTTTAAGTCCCTGCGGGTACCTGGTCAGGCTTTCATGAGAGAATTTAAGGAAAATAAAAGCTAGCCAGCTAAGTAGGAAATATGTCACTGTATTTGATATGCCAACATACCAACTGTTTCTAGAGGTCAGGAATACTCTGCAGTTGTTCCTCCAGGTTCTGAAGAGAACTGACGTCTTTGACGGGCAACAAATTTCGATCCAGGCCTATCTCTGCCTCATCAGTCGCTTTCATACCCTGTAGGGTCTTAAAGATGATGCGCAGTTGGTCCATCATCATTTCCTGTTTTGTTAATATACTACGCAGAAGGGCTAAGAAGAAAACAAGCAAGAAAGATAGATTAGAAACAGTATAAAACTAGTTAAGCCACCGAACTGATAGTCTTATCTGACCACTGTTAGTCATCTGTGTATACTTAATGTTGGAAGTCTTATTTTCCTCATTATCTGAAGAAACCATTTAGCCAAATAAAGAATTCATACAATGTAACAAACATCATTGAATACTCACAAGTTTGCAGACTGGATGTCTGCTCCCTGGTCTGGTGTGCCTCGGGGTGCCTTGATGGGAGTATAGATCGTTCGGTGTGCCTCGGCGTCCGGCGGCTCTCGGTGCTGGCGTGCCTCGGCGTCCGGCGGCTCTCGGTGCTGGCGTGCCTCGGCGTCAGGTTCTCAGTGTTGGTGTGACAGCTTGAAGGAAACTTGGAAGTACAGGAGTGCTGACTTGGGCTTGGCTCAAGACTGCTGTTGCCACTTGGTGGGAAGTCAGGACTGCTGTTGCCACTTGGTGGGAAGTCAGGACTGCTGTTGCCACTTGGTGGGAAGTCAGGACTGCTGTTGCCACTTGGCTGGAGGTTCTGGCCTTGCTTCCCTGGCTTTAATGTAGGAGTTTTGTACTGCCTAGGGATCTTTGGAGCATTGGGCAATGTGACTTTCAGGGTGCTTTCCATCTCTTCATCGTCTTCCCCAGGGAAAAGAATATTCTTGCGTCTAAAAACACATTTAATAATTTTAAGAAACAGTATGTGTGCGCGAGTGCATGCATATTGACTACCAGCTATATACAGCGTGCTAGTCTCGAAAATCCAGCCGCTTATAACATTAACTTAGCTCTCCTTATTAGCTAGGCTCCTTACATGCTTGCTAATAATAATAATAATTTGTGCAGCTGTGTTCCATGAGGGAGAGAGGGAGAGAGAGAGAGATACAGGTGAGTGCGAGAGAGAGAGGGACGAGTGAGAGGAAGTGCTGCATTAATGCGCTATGGCGCTCTGCAATCAAATACGATTTTAAATAGGCTTAGTAAAAAAAAATCTAAAATCAATGTGTGGCAGTCAGCGTTGATATTGTGGCGGGCCGCCACAAATAAATGAACGTACGGGAAACACTGCTGCAGATTTATAAAAAAAACATACATTCTTTTTCTTTTAAATTTAATTGGCGAGTCCCCTCCGTCACTTCCAAGGTCAGTGTGATCGACAGCCTGAGGTAGTTTAAGCCTTGCTTCATTGTAGTCATCTAGAAAAACAAAATACAGGGGAAAAAAGTAAATTTAAGTGATATTATGATCTATCATTAGATCAATTTAAAAGGTAGAGGTGATAACACTTTTTTTTTTTTTTTTTTTTTTAAACCTGTCCTGCCCAGCAGCCTGGTATAGAGTATAATGACCTGGATACCATATTGTGCCAGACAGATTTTACTTTAACAAGAGAGTATTAAAATACTCCTTTGTCTGTTTTATTATTTATTTAATTATGTATTGATTTGTCACCGGGCCGGACAGGGGGGCAGACACGGGGATGGGGGGGCACAAACAGACAGCACAGAGAAAGGACAACACCTGCAAGAGAAGGGGGAAAGGGGGATGGAGGGTGGGGACAACAGGGAAAAGCTGTGGGAAACACCAATTGCAGAAAGCAACGAAACCTGCAAGAGAACAGAGAGGGGGGCTTGGGGAGGAGAAAAACAACAACAAACAAACACAAACAAAAAAAATAAAAATAATAATAATAGTAAAAGAAAACCAGCCGAACAGCAGCAATAAACAGCTGACATATTAATGACATATTAAGACAACTAAGAGAACAATGAAAACAAGAAACAGTCACACACACTAAATAAGCAACACAACACAGCCACGAGAGCTGGAATAATAATTAATTTAAATAAGTAACTGAAAGAAAGGCATCAGGAATAATTCTACCAGGGACAACCTAAGTTTGTTTGTGTCTGTGTGTGTCTGTGTGCGTGTGGGTGAATGTGTCTGTATGTGTGTGTATGTACATGTGTGTGCGCATAAGCCTGTTAAAGAATGTAGTTGTTAGAGAGAGGGGAACGCCACGACTGTAACAGGCAGGCAAGAACCCCAGTAGCCAATAGGGGTGGAAGAAAGAAAAAGAATAAATCAAATCAAAAAAAAAACAAAGACTCCCAGATGCACCGCGATGCAAACGCAGAAGACCCCGACCCAAATGCCAGTTGACAACGTAATGCCGACGGAACGCAAAAGAGGAAGAGCAGCGCCCGGACCGACCGCGTCGCAGACACAACATAGACCAGTGGCCTCCCCCATCCAGCACCCCACCGCCGCGCAGCAAACAACCACAATGCCCAAATGCCACGCAATCATCAACACCAATGCACAAGTGACGAGCCCAACGCGCACACTGCGCGAGCACGGCGACACCCATGCCCAGCAGCCCCCCGCGAATCCCGCGTGCGAGGTCGGGCAAATGAGAGAGAGCAAACGGAACAACACGACAGCAGCAAGCCCCAGCCCGGCAGCAAACGCGCCGCACAGGTCACCGTGCACCCGCCAATAAAAGTCCACCGTCCCCCCAACTGCCGGAAAAAACTAAGGCCGCCGGCGCCAGCCGACATCCCCCATGCCCAGCGCGCCCCCCCGGCCGCCATGCAACACCAGCCAAACCAGCAACGAGGCAAAATCAACTAGCTCAGCTGCATGCCACCAACAACCCACCCATCCATCAAGGGCCGAGAACTCCAGGCACAAACCCAGAACAAACCGGAGCACAGCCCTGCCCCGCACCCACACTGCACATCCCGAAAACTAACTATATACCTCAGTATCCAGAGGGGTCCAACAACTGGCCGACAGAGAAATGGGCAAGCACGGATCCGAGGCCAACGAAGCAAAACAGGAACGCAAACAGGTCCCTCCAAGCCAACGAGGAGATGCCTCCCCCGGACTCCAACGCACAAACTAAACGCCCAGCAGCCATCCAGAGACCCTGCCCAGGGAAAAAGTATAATACATCAAGATGCATCGATAATCGTCCCACAATCCCACCGCAGACCCCCACCCCAGAAGCCAGGACACCCTGCGACCCCCAAAGCGCAAAGGACCCCAGACCGCATGTCCAGGGGGAAGCTGTACCCCGCCCCAAGGAAGAACAGCAGAAAGCCGTGCCGGGAAGCTCGCTACCGCCAGGGAGCGATAACGCGGGAGAACCAGGCCAACGGTCCCCCAGCCCAGCCAGAGGCATCCCTCCCTACAGTGCAGCCAGTGACAGCAGCCCCCGAGGCCGATTTCATCCCCGGACAGGGGCCCAGCCCCCCCCAGTCAAGCACCCCCAAGGAGGAGCACCAAAACCTACCCCGACAGCACCGGTCATGCGCCCCAGAGACTCCCGAATGCCCCCACCGTGAGAGAGCTGGCAGGGGGAAGCAGCGGGAGCCTCACCTCTGCCGAAGAGGGCCCAGGCGAGGAGGGAGGGCCCAGGCGAGGAGAGAGGGCCCAGGCGAGGAGTGAGGGCCCAGGCGAGGACAGAGGGCCCAGGCGAGGAGTGAGGGCCCAGGCGAGGAGAGAGGGCCCAGGCGAGGAGTGAGGGCCCAGGCGAGGAGTGAGGGCCCAGGCGAGGAGAGAGGGCCCAGGCGAGGAGAGAGGGCCCAGGCGAGGAGTGAGGGCCCAGGCGAGGAGTGAGGGCCCAGGCGAGGAGGGAGGGCCCAGGCGAGGAGAGAGGGCCCAGGCGAGGAGCGAGGGCCCAGGCGAGGAGTAGAGGGCCCAGGCGAGGAGGGAGGGCCCAGGCGAGGAGTGAGGGCCCAGGCGAGGTGATAACACTTAACTTACGTGATGCGAAGATAATTCTGGCCTTATGGGGCATCCATCCATCTCCAGGACATTCTTGAGATTTTACAGCTTTTGCCACATCAATTTTATTTGGAGGCCACATGCACTCTCCATTTTCTATCCAGACTGAAGGCACAACTTCAACCTCATTTGTGTTGTCAAAGACAACAATATGAAACATCTGAAAATAAGCAACCATGACTACATAAATTCCATAGCCAACTAAAATACAAGAGCAACTTCAGGGTTACTAGTTTCAATGCAAGAGTGGAACAACAACAAATCTGTTTCGAAATGGTAATCTTACATACTTCTGTAGCTTCTTTTCAATCATAAAACACTTGATATTGGTGGAGAGGTTGGAAACCACATAAATTTCCAACTCTTTTGAGTCAATTGGATATTTAAAGAAATGTTCCACCTGTTTATATTCATTACCCACAAGGTACACAATTCCTTTATCCTCAACAATGTTTCGGACTAAAACAAACTTGTTATCGACTTTGATACAAGAATCTCTCTCATTGGGCTTCACAACTACAGTGGGGGAAATAAGTATTTGACCCCTTGCTGATTTTGCAGGTTTGCCCACTTACAAAGAATGCAACAATCTTCCAGAAAATCACATCATATGAATTTATAAAAATTGATAACCATCTGATGAGGAAAAACAAGTATATGACCCCCTACCAAACAGCAAGTATTCTGGCTCCTACAAGCCAGTTAGTCTTTCTTTAAGACACAGCCCCAATCCCAACCAATTATCTACATCAAATACACCTGCCTCACCTCGTTACCTGTATAAAAGACACCTGTCAACACCCAAACAACCAGCATCCAACATCACCACCATGGGCAAGACCAAAGAGCTTTCTACGGACATCAGGGACAAGATTGTTGATCTGCACAAGGCTGGGATGGGCTACAAGAGAATCGGAAAGCAACTTGGAGAGAAAAGATCAACTGTCGGTGCAGTTATCAGGAAAAGCACACTACACCGTCATGGATTGAAATCCTGCAGCGCACGCAAGGTCCCCCTGCTCAAGAAGAAACATGTACAGGCCCGCATGAAGTTCGCCATTCACCACCTGGACGACTCAGAAGAGGCCTGGAAGAAGGTGATGTGGTCAGATGAGACCAAAATAGAACTTTTTGGGCTCAACTCAACTCGTCGTGTTTGGAGGGCAAAGAACACCGAGTACAACCCAAAGAACACCATCCCCACCGTCAAGCATGGTGGTGGCAACATCATGCTTTGGGGGTGCTTTTCAGCCAAGGGGACGGGACAACTCCATCGTATTGAGGGGAGGATGGACGGGGCCATGTATCGTGGAATTCTGGACCAACATCTCCTTCCCTCAGTGAGAGAGCTGAAGATGGGTCGAGGATGGGTGTTTCAGCACGACAACGACCCTAAGCACACCGCCAAAGCAACAAAAGAGTGGCTGAAGAAGAAGCACATCAAGGTTCTGGAGAGGCCTAGCCAGTCTCCAGACCTGAATCCAATTGAAAATCTTTGGAGGGAGCTTAAAATTCGAGTTGCCAGGCAACAACCTCGGAACCTGAATGA